CTGAGGAGCAGCTGGTGGGTTGGAACCACCGACCTTGTAGTTTAAACTGACTTTGTGGTCTAGTGCTTATACTATAGCACCACAGTTGTGCTTTACTGACTATGCAAAGGCATTCAACTGTGTGGATCATCATAAGAAACCATGGATAATATTGGGAAGAGCGGAAATTCCAGTTAATTGTGCTTATGAGGAACCTGTACATAAACCAAAGGGTAGTCATTTGAACAGAACAAGAGGACACTTGTTGCTGTTAAGTGCCATCAAGTTGGTTCCGACTCATAGCAGACCTGTATAAGGGTTTCCAAGGAGTGGTTGGTGGGTTTGAACCACCAACTTTGTGGCTCAAACTGATCTTGCAGTACAGCACATTATCCTGCAGCACCACACCAGGACTCCTTAAGGGGACAGTGAATGGTTTAAAATCAGGAAAGCTGTGTATCAGGGTTGTATCCTTTCACCATACTTATGTACCCTTAGCATATATCCAAGAAACTGGATTATATGAAAAAGAACGTGGCTTCAGGATTGGAGGAAGGGTCATTAACTATCTGTGATATGCAGATGATACAAATTTGCTTGCTGAAATCTAAGATGGCTTAAAATACTTACTAATGAAGATCAAAGACCACAGCCTTCAAAATGGATTGTGCCTCAATGAAAAGAAAACAAATATCCTCACAGCTGGACCAATGAATAACATTATGATAAATGGAAAATGACTGAAATTGTCAAAGACTTCATTTTGCTTGGATCCACAATCAATGATCATGGAAGCAGCAGTTAAGAAATCTAATGACATATTGCATTAGACAAATTTTCTGCAAAAGATCTCTTTAAAGTGTTTATGAGTAAAAATGTCACTTGAGGATAAAGATGCACCTGATCCAAGCCATGGTATTTTCAATCACCTGATATGCATGTGGGCTCCTGGTTCAGCGTAGGATAAGCACTGAACTATTAACCATAGGTCAGTAGTTTCAAATTCACCAGCTGCTCCTCAAAAACCCTAAATAGGGTCTTTATGCGTCATACCAACCTGACGGCACTGAACAGCAACAAGAACACATGCCTGTGAAAACTGAATCGGACAGACCATAGGAAAATCGATGCATTTGAATCATGGTGTTGGTGAAGAGCATCCAAAGTAACATGGACTGCCACAAAACAAACAAATGTGTATTGGAAGAAGTACAGCCACAATACTCCTTAGAAGGGAGGATAGCTAGACTTCATCTCTTGCACTTTGGACATATTTGCAAGAGGGATGAGTCATCATGGTCTGAAAAGTGGAGGGTCAGTGAAAAAGAGGAACACTTCCAACAAGACAGACTAACACAGTGACAGCACCAATGGGCTCAGATATAACAAATGTCAAGATAGCACAGGACCAGGCAATATATTTCATTCTGTAGTGCCTAGGGTCACTATGAATTGGAAACTACTCAACAGCAACTAACAAGAGGGAAAGGAGAGTTATCAACTATATAAAGCCTGACTCCCAGGTAAGAGTAAATTACTAATCTCTGTCTAGAATAAAGATAATAGCTCTCCTGGGACATGGATGCAAAAACACAAACTCATCCAAAATATGAACACAGCTCTGGGAAAAAATGCTCTTATTAATCATCTGGAAACAGCAGATAAACTGGCTTTAGGGTCTTCACAAGGACAAATCCTAAAATCACCAGTTGCAAAATGGAGAAACTAGGGGATGAGATCAAAACTGAAATAATCAGTAACACCAAACTGAATAATTTTATTTCCCAGTCAACAAATCTACTAAGAAAACATTAACTGAATTTGGTTGTTAGGTTTAAATGATTTTAATTGAATATATCCAGTTTACAGCATAAATAATAATGCATTTTATATAAAAAAAATTGGGGGGCAGGAAAATGCCATATTTACTTGGGACAGCACACTAAGACATTCAATTTAAACAGCCGTTTGAACTGCAAGGTCAGCAGGCGGTTCAAGTTCACCAGCCGCTCCTCGGAAACCCTAGACAGGGTCGCTATGGGTCAGGATCGACTTAACAGCACTTAACAACATAACAAAAAAAAAAAAAACTGGATGAAGTGTAGTTTGTAGAGGGAAAATGTGGCCTCATGGTTTTTTATATAACACTTTTTTTAAATTCTAATTAACTATAAATGAATAGCCAGAGAAACTCCATACACAAATCAACTTTGTAGCCATTATTTCTCCTGAGTACAAATTTCCTTTCTTCTGTTCAAATCATTATTTAGACACAGGACAGGAGGGGCAGAGATTTCTAATGACAAGTATGCAGCGTAGATCACGTTGAGCTGGGTTTGTTTAACGAGTAGTCTGAATTCACTGGGATTGTTTTGAAGTCATATGGGTGAAGACAAATGTAGAAACCACACTTAAATCAAAGTGGCATGGGTGATCAAGAATTGATTACAAAGTTGGAAAGTAACTTAATATGCCACAGAAAACTTAGTAGTCAATTCTTGATCACCCATGCCACAAACAACTGGTCCAAAAAGGCTTCTACTTTTCTATTGTAAATTGTTACCAACTCTCCACAGAATCCACATGGACTGCATGTGATAGAGTAGGACTGTTCCACAGAGTTTTCCTGGCTCTAATCTTTACAAAAGGTCACCGGGCCTTTTTCTTCTGATGAAATGATACATTAACTCTAGGTAATGTGTGGCGCTGTGGGCTAATGCATCAGACTGCAAAGTCGTTTGAATTACAAGATCAGTGGTTCAAGTTCACCAGCTTCTTCTTGGAAACCCTATACAGGGTGGTTATGGGTCAGAATCGACTCAATGACGGCACTTAACAACAACCACAATTTATTCTTAATTCTGTCATTGTTAAATGTCATTTGCCGTTAAGTGCCGTGCAGTCTTTTCTGACTCATATAGGGTTTCTGAGAAGCTGCTGTTTGAATCGCAGACATTGCTGCAGTTAGCAGTCTACTGCTTATACTACAGCATCACACCAGGACTCCAATTCTTAATTCTAGTAACAGAGAAATCAGTCACTTCCTTCCTACACACACACACTTTTAAAGACCTCAATTATCTAAAGGAAAAAGAGAAGTCTAACACAAGAATTCTGTGGGATTAAACTCACATCTGGTTGGCAGACCTGGTGTTGGATATGATTCTGGCCACATAACTAAATCTTAAATCCACATGCTGTTCCTATTTAACTGACATATATGAATCTAACTAATTTATAGAAAATGTGCAGCAAATTATTTCTTCCACCTCCCCCATGCTCAAGAATGCATCCGCAGTAGGTGTTACTGAAAAAGACACTCCACTCTCTACCCCCAGGAAAAAAAAAAAAGCTTTCCATTCCTACAGGCCTTCCAACTTATCTGCAGTAGATATTGTTATGTTTGTTATCTAAATCTATACTATGGAAATAAATATGGGGGAGAAGGGTGGTGATTTAAGGAGATAAATGTGATCTCTCTAGAGGAACAACTCTGCAAAACAAAAAAATTAAAAATCCAGAAATGATACCAATTCTCTCAGTAACCAGAAACCATGATCACTAATTACCAAAATCACAATTTGTGACAGAGGAGATCTGAATCCTTAACAGTTTGCTTCTAAATAATTAGAGCTTAAAATTCCTAAAAGACTCACAGTTACACTTTAGTGTGTCCACACACCTTTTCTGACTGTAAAGGGCATCTTTGAAAACACAGCAGCAAACCCCCGAGCCGCCAAACTGAGTTAAAACGTGCAAAGCGATCTCACGGACTTCCTGTTTTGAGGGGGCAAAAAGCCTGTGGATCTGGAGAGGACTTCGCAGAAGCAGAGGGAAGAACCAGGAATCCCAGGGCACAGAGCTTCTCATTATCTCCAGAAGACTTTTGGCTACAACTACAAAACCTCTCACCTGCAGCTGCCCAGCGGGTAGAAGAGAAAAGGGAGAAGGGGAAAGAAGCAAAGGAGATAAAGGGGAAAGACCCATCCTGCGAAAGTGGACTTTGAACAACAAAGAAATATAGAAAGGAGGGCTCCGCCTTTCCCACCCAACCCAGTTTATTTCAATAAAAAGGAAAGGCCGCCACCACCTAAACTACAGCCTTTCACTCTGGGATGCGCAGCACAGACCTAACCGCACCCTCAAAGTCTGGCTCCCCTACGAGCCAGGTCTGAAGTCGAGATCGAATCTAGCACGAACGCCCAGGAGGCGCACCCCTTACTCGACCCCAAATTCCGGGCCTGAGCCTCTCCCACCCGCCTTGTTCCATCCCTCCGGGCGTGGGGCACCCAATTCTCCACGCACCCATCCTCCCTTCCTCTTTCTCGCGCCCCCGCCGCCTCCTCCGCCCGCTGCCCCCAGCCTTCCAGAGGTAGAACATTTCAATACAACCACCCACCCGGACAAGGGAGCCTTTTGAAAACTTTGTGTATCTAGGGCTTTTGTCCATATCCTGGGCAGGGCCGGTCACTCGGGTGGGTGCCTGAGGGTGTCCGGAATCGCACAATGCACTGGAGAAGCCACCACGGAAAAACCCACCCTTTTATTTTCGATCTGCTTCTACAACCCAGTGCTACACAGAGCTACGACGAACAATTCCCATGCCCTCACCGCCCCCCTCGGCTCTGGGAACGCGGGAGGAAACCCCCGCACCCGGTGCCTTTCTCCACTGTCACGAGGGAAAAGGTGTGCGCAAGGAAAGAAAGGCAGTCCAGGAAAGCCGTGGCTAAAATCACCCTTTTAAGCGGCAAATAGCAAAAGGGGTCCTTTTTCTTCCACATCCCGGGAAAGGGGGCGCGACGAGTCAATACACTGTTGTATCACGTAGTAGCTGAACCTCTGGGCTCCTCACCTTCCCCACAGCCCCAGACACGCGCCCAAATTCATGCACACACCCACAGCCACAGCAGCCGCGGTCCAGAACCCCCGCCCGGGTCTCCTACTTTCCCCGCCGGCACCCGCCCCAAAGCAGGGACCACCCGGCGCCCGAGGGACAGGGAAAGGGAGGCCCCAGCACTCACAGATGGTCTTCCCACCGCCACGGCCATCGTGGCTGTGAGTCTGGCTGCGCCCGGGTGCTCTCCGCGGACACTGGCTGCTGCTGCCGCTGCTGCTGCTGCTCCCGCTCCGGCTCGCCTCCCCCGCGCTTCACTCGCGGCTGCGCTCTGCTAGCGCCCGGCTCCGGTTCCCAGCCAGCCGCATCTGCTCCCCCCACGCCGCCGCCCCTTCGGCTTTATTAGAGCAACATGGCCACCCGCCTGGAAGGGACCATTTGCTTCCCCAGAAAGGGGTGTGAGTCTGCGCGGCCGGACTACGGTGGTGGGAGGGAGGACAGTGGGCGGGCCGCAAGCTCCGGCTAGCCCGCCCAGGCCGCAGGTCTTGTGTTCTGCGGATGTAGCCTCAGGTCTCGAAGCTACCCTCCGTGATGCCATCGAGACGCCCACTGTATGAACGCTATCCGCCACCCCCGGGCCTATAGGTGGAGTCCGAGTAAAAGCTTAGGCGCGGAGGTCCCAGCCCCTGGTCCCGCCACGCGTTTTACGAAGCGAGCAGCTTGAGCCGCTGCAAAGAAGGGAAAGGGAAACAGGTCTCAGGAGGAGAACATCTTTCCGAAAGCCAGTCCCAGGAGAGCACACCAAGCATGAGGAATCGGCTTGGATGATCTGAGATCGAAGAGGGAGAGTGGCCTAGGCGAAGTGGGCAGGGAAGAGTTGCCCTTCCATGAGCTTTCCCATCATATGGGAGAAACTCAAAAAACAGGCAGCTGGAAGTTGTCACTGTAGCTTGCGGCTGGGCAGGGGACCACATTGGAAAGGAAAAGGCCTTAGTAGTTTCTGCTGTGGTTGCCTGATTGAGAGGAAGAAAGGGAAAAAAAAACAAAAAACGCCCCCGCTGGAGAATTAAGGCAGCTGTTGACTGCTCTATAGCTTGCAGACTGAGGCCTCCCTCAGGTAAAATTGGAGAGCTCGGTGGTCACAACGCATGGGGTCTCCAAGACATTATGTGTTCCCTGGAGACACCCATAGCCCCTGAGCCACAGAGAGTAAAGATGACCGCACCTAGAAGGTGACTATGGAAACTAGGAAACTATTCCACAGTGGGTTAGTGTTTCTCCAGCAGATGGTGGAATGTCTACTTGGCAGGTCATATAGCCAGGTCCAGGTGCGTGTGGGCTGGGAGGTGAAGTGTGTCCGAATGTTGTAGATTCCCGCGGTTCCTCGCGGGGCTAGAGGGGCGAAACCACGACAACAACAATGTAATTAAAGATGGCAAACAACACGGGTGGTACCCATTGGATTGAAGCGCAGGCAAAGTATGCAGAGGCAGTGTTTGAACTGAGCTGCGCTTCGGAAACCCTATACAGGGTCGCTACGGGTCAGTATCGACTGGACAGCACTAACAGTAGCATAGTGAGCTCTGGTAGTATAGTGGTTACAAATAGGGCACAGAAGAAGGTAGAATCCCCACAGAGTAGTATCCAATCTGTCTGGGTGGGACTGATGAAAGGAGATGGGGATAGCACTAATGTGGTACAATAGTGAATAATTGCTATCAGGACTGATTGTCAGGATTGGAAATGTTAAGATAGATGTTTTGTAGCAAAATGAGGGGAGTAGTTTACTTTGCAGTCTAGGAGTAGAGGTCCCTGGGACCATCAAGGGAGAAGAGCAGAGAGCGGTACCCTACCCAGAGAAGCCGTGACACCAGAGATGGAAGCAGAGACAATGATGTGGAGAGATGGAGAAGCTGGGGCCTCTGGACCCAGAGAGGGAGAGGGGTGTGTGCTGATGACTGGGGGGCAGGCTTGCAGGGTATACCCTTTGGTTGGTTCGTGATGCGTGGAGGGGATTATAACCATGGCAATGAAGCGATATGTAAAGCTAATGTTCTCCCATATAAATTATTACATAATTCACAATAAAACATTAAAAAAAAAAAAAGTATAAGCTTACGGCCTTTGTGGATATGTTAGTTTATTCTAATCACAAGTTTATAGTCACTCATTCTCTCTCTCTCTTCTCTTGCTCTCTCTCTTCTAGGACAAAGTCATTGTTAGTTTGCCCAGTCTCTGCTTGAATCTTTTTGTTAATTATGAACAATGCTTAAATTCCTCCTCTCCTTTCACTGGCAGGTAAGAAGTAGACAAGGGCTTCCCAAAGTTTTTGGAAACGTGGAATTAAAAGATAATAGACTATTTCCACTAAATTTTGGAAGCCCCTTCATATTCAATAAAAATACAATTTAATTACTTTTGTCCAAGGGAGTTTATTTCAATATGTCAACTCTCATTATGAAGCAATTTGGATACTGATTCTCCAGCCAGACTACCGCTTGCCTTGGAGTAATTTCCAACTCATGGCTACCCCAAGTGTGTCAGAGTAGAACTGTGACCCATGGGTTTTCTATGACTGATACCTTACTTCCAAGGCATGCCTCTGAGTTCCAGGGACAGTCAGATTGAATATTTAGGTTCAAAATCCTGGATTTACCACTTCCTGGCTGTGCAGCCTTTGGAAAACTTCTTAACCTTTCAATGCTTCCGTTCCCTCATCTTTAAAATCTGTTCAATAATGTTGGGTGCCCTGAGTCAGTTCTGGTTCATAGCAACCCTGCATAGAGTTTCCAAGAGTGGCTGGTGGGTTTTAACTGCCAACCTAGCAGTTAGCAATCGGGTCCTTATCCTACAACTCTTCTCTGACACATGGAGTCGCCATGAAGCAGAATCAACTCAACAGCAACTGATTTTCAGTAATAGAGTTGTTAAGGAATTGTTAGGTAACACCGAGTCAGTTCTCACTTATAGCAAGCCTGTGTACAACAGAACAAAACACTGCCCAGTTCTGTGCCATCCTCATAATAATTGTGATGTTTGAGCCCATTGTCATAGCCACTGTATCAATCCATCTCCGAGACAGTCTTCTCCTTTTTCAGTGATCTTCTGCTTTACCAAGTATGATGACCTTTTCCAGGGACTAGTCCCTCCTGATAGCATGTCTAAAGTACGTGAGGCAAAGTCTCCCCATCCTCACTTCTAAGGGGTTGTATGTATAGCCTTCTGGCTGTACTTCTTCCAAAAGAGATCTGTTTGTTCTTCTCACAGTTCATGGTACTTTCAATATTTGCCAACACCATGATTCAAATGCATCAATTTTTCTCCAGCCTTCTTCATTCATTGTCCAATTTTCACATGCATGTAAAACAATTGAAAATACCCTGGCTTGGGTCAGGTTCACCTAAGTCCTCAAAGTGACATATTTGCTCTTTAACACTTTAAGAGAGTTATTTTATAACAGATTTGCAAAATATCATTTGATTTCTTGTCTGCTGCTTCTATGAACATTGGTTGTATGGTTATTGATTCCCCCAGATCCCTTGTGATGGCACCATTACAGTCTGACTGCATCCCTCAACTGAAGGTCACAGTTACTTCCTTAGTGTAGCCCAGGATAAACTCTTTGTGGTTTTCATATACTTTGTCCCAAACCCCAAACCAAATCTGTTGCAAATAATTCTGACTCACAGCAACTCTATGAGACTGAGTAGACCTGCTGTAATCTTTATGGAAGCCAATTGCCACATCTTTCTCCCATGGAGCACCTAGAAGATTTGAACTACTGGCCTTTCATTTTGCAGTCAAGCACTTAACAACTGCACAACCAGGACTCATACTTTCCCCATGTCTTTGCAAATGATCTTCTTATTAAACTCTAATCAAATTATCCAGTAGGGATATACCATCTCAATTTTTCCCTGGAATCTTAATAGATGCAGCCCTTTGCAGAATTGTTTTGGGAATTAAGTGAGAAATGATGAATATGCTATTATTAAAGTGGAATCCTGGTGTGGCACTGTGGGTTAACGCGCCAGACTGCAAAGCCAATTGAACTGCAAGGTAGGTGGTTCAAGCTGCTCCTCAGAAACCCTGTATAGGCACTGACTCGATGGCACTTCACAACAACAACATTATTAAAGTGGTCTATAATATATTATCCAAACCTAGAAACTTTTGAGATTAAAAAGGTGGATTGATGCTGTAGTAACTATACTAGGACCACAGACAAAAACCTGAATTTATGGTCATCCTAACTATTGAGTGGAATAAACTTGACAGCAACTGGTTTAGTTTAGCTATTATTGCAACTCTATTTGGGGCATGCTAAGAAATTGGAGTCCTGGTGTGGCGCTGTGGGTTAACGCGCCAGACTGCAAAGCCATTTGAACTGCAAGGTCGGCAGTTCAAGCTCACCAGCGGCTCCTCGGAAACCCTATACAGGGTCGCTATGGGTCAGAATCGACTCAACAGCACTTAACAACAACAACAAATTGAGAGGTGGTCATACTTTCACATCTCCTACTAGACTATGAATTTCTCAAGGTCACCTTAACCATTGTTGTTAAATGCACTCCAATCCAGTCCCATTCACAGCAAATGTATAGGGTATCCAAAGTTGTGTCTTTGCTGGAGCAGAAAGCCTCATCTTTCTTGCGAGAAGCAACTGGTAGTCTTGAACCTCCGACTTTGTGGTTTGTAACCCAGTGATTATCTTACAGAGCCACCGCACTCCCTACTGTAAGCAAGTTGTTATTAGGTACTGTTGAGTCTGTTCGGACTCATGGCAACCCTAAGCCCAACAGAAGGAAACACTGTCCCTCCTGCACCAGTTTCACAATCATTGTTACGCTTGAGCTCATTGCTGTTGCCTATGTGTCACTCTAACTCTCAGGGGGGAGGGGGCGGGTCTCTTCTTCTTTTTCATTGACCCTCCACTTTATCTAGCATGATGCCCTTCTCCAGAGACTGGTCCTGCCTGATAATATGTCTGAAGTAGGAGAGATGAAGTCTGGCCATGGTACTTTGAATATTCTCCTCTAATGCCATAACTCAAATGCATCAGTTCTTTTATGGTCTTCCTTATTCATTGTCCAACTTTCACATGCATTTGAGGCTACTGAAAACGCCATGGCTTGAGTCAAGTGCGCTTTAGTCCTCAAACTGACATCTTTGCTCCTGAACGCTTTCCAGAGCTCTTGTGCAGCAGATTTGCCTAATGCAACACATCATTTGATTTATTGTTGCTCCTTCAGTGAGTGTTGATGATGGATCCAAGCAAAATAAAATCTTTGATAACGTCAGTCTTTTCTCCATTTATCATGATGTTATTTATTGGTCAGTGGTGACGATGTTTGTTTTCTTTCCATTGAGGTACAACTAACAACAAACGCGGTAGTTG